TATAATCAATCAAAAAAAGATGCACTTTGCATTAAAATCTGGGCCCTACAAATCAGTATACTACGGCTATCGTAAGAACGCTACTGGGCGGTAACCAAAATTTATTCGATCTCACACATTCCCACCACTAAACCTTTCTGAACACTGGTCTGTCAATTCTGGCCACCGCTACTATACAGCGGTAACTGCTGGTAGAGTGGGAGAAATTTGGGTACAAAACTCGGTCATTTGAATGCGCAAACAAGTAGCGTTCTTACGGTGGTGGTAGTATAGTTTCTAATTCAATTTCCATATCTCAAGATACCTCAAAAAATATACTTTTTCAGAATATAAAATTAAAAATATATGCTGTAGTAAAAAAAAAAAAAAACTTATGATAGAATATTTTTTCATCAACATTTTGTGGTGTAATAACTGATGAGTTTAAATTCTGTAATATAATACAAATACTTTTGAAACAATGAGTATGTTTTGTTAAGTGAATCAGCGATTTTCAAATATCCATGTAATTTATAGTAAATACACTATACAAATTTGTATTTTGTYATACCTCTGTTGAATCATCGGGCCTAGGTCTACTTAAAAGTGCATTAAATCTTTCCACCAAACTTCCATCCAAGAATTTTTCTCCTTTTACTAAATTTAAAAAGCCACAGTTTGGAAACCATTTAGCATGTTCAACCCATGAATTATCAGCTACCTCCCAATTTTGAAGACCTCCATCACAGTAATAACAGCGAACTTCATCATTACTACCTGTAATAATTAATTTAACATCCATTTATTAAATAGGTAGCACAAATAAAACTTTTAAATATTTAAGACTGGTGCGCCAAAAATATTTGATATTTCTGTAAATACAATATTTGATGTTAAATAATATAAATTCATCAATTTCTAAATAAAAAAGATAAAAAATTTGTACCAGTAAAAAAAAATCCAGCAGTAGCTAAGTCTTCGGGTTTTTGTGATTCATTATTCCAACCTCTGAATGAATTCAATCGAGCACTGAATGAATTATACTTTAAATGAAAAGCTACCCTATGAGCTCTTACACCCAAACCTTGAATATCAATTGGTTCACCTGTTTCATTAAAATGTAAATTAATCAACAGTAAGATAAATACATGTACATTTTAAAATGATATAATGATATTTGTTTAAATAAAAACTCGTTTCTGATGAGTTATTAGATCATTTTTGATTTGGTTTTCAAGTTTAATTAAGGAACTAAAACTATGGTTAATCAAATATTATTAATTGTTTTATCTACCGGATACCACATTATTATAAATAATAAACATTAATGTACAGTTAAAACTAATATTTTATCATGAACTTGGTAAAAAATATATAATTCCATTACTAAACTGAACTAAACTAAAAACTGACCAGTTTCTTTATGATTTTCAACAAATTCTCCTCTCAACTGAATTCCTTCGATAATAGGTATATTCCCACAGTCTTGACTAAGGATAAAACTACAGTCAGGATTGTGACGTTTATGTTCATCGACAGCATTGTCACCGAATTCCCAGTGGCAAATACAAATGTTACAAAAAGCACATTTAACCTAAAAAGAATAAATATAAATAAATAAAATATTATAGCATTTAACAATCTATAGTATAGGTATAAAGCTGTATAACCTGTATAATATAACTAGTTATAAATCATAATTACTTTATCAGTTTGTTTGGTATAATAGAATCCAGCAGCTGCTAAACTTTTTGGACTAATGATAAATGATACTGGCCAACCAACAAATGTACTCAATCTATTGCTTTCATTTTTCAAATCAATCGAATGTAGTGATTCCATTAGTGTGAATAAATCTGTTAAAAACACATGCATTTTAAATTGTTTAATCCATTTAAGACTTAGATGACACTGTGATTCACAGTTTTCTGAAGGGTTCAGAGGAGTAAAACRATATGTAAAATTTACAATTTTGTTATGATAACTTAATTAGACAGAAGACACGAATAAATTAGGTATAGAGTTTTACAATTTACCTACTATGATTAATTATTAATAGATCAGACAAAAACATACAAGTGTATTGTACA